GTGTGTGTGTGTGTGTGTGTGTGTGTGTGTGTGTGTGTGTGTGTGTGTGTGTGTGTGTGTGTGTGTGTGTGTGTGTGTGTGTGTGTGTGCAGCACAGCCTCAACACAACTGGACATGAAGCCAGCAGGGAGATGAAATGCACACAGGAGACGCACGAGTGAGTAGGTCAAAATAGAGCAAAGGAGAAGGACAAATACACATGTCAAGACGTGCACACAGAGACACGTGTTGAAAGGGGAACCAGGAGACAGCAACATGTCCGACACGAGCCGACCCATCAAAAGGTAAGTTCAGATCACCCACTTGTACGCCAGCCATGCACGAGTCCAGCAGAACCCCAGACAGATAACTGACCTGTCTGGTCACACGAAAATCCAGACCGTCTAGACAGCATCTAAATGGACGGATCATCGGATTGGCAGATGGCCGGAGGGGTGACTGGGCGGATGGGCAGATGAGTGAATGGGTGAATGGGCGAACGCGTGAATGGCCACACAACGAGATGGAGGCTTTTTGGTTTACCAGTTTTGCTCAGCAGCGATGAGATGGCGCGCAGTTCAGTCAAGCACTCACAAAATGCAGCCAACCACAGAAAACTGCATGCGTGGCCGCCGTGCTTGCGAGTAAAACATCCCTTCTTCCATTTGTGAACAGGGTTAAACAAAGGTGATCGAGCACGTTTTCCTCCTCACTGAACTGTCTTCGACATCTCTGCCTGACAGCACACACATGCAAAGTCTCAAATATGTCAAAGTCCACCCACTTAATGGCGCACAAACACACCGCATTTAATCCAGTTTACATGAAAAACTCAGGAAAAGATAAAAGTGATATTCCCAACACGGAGGTAGCAGTTAGCATTACCAATGCAATAGAAATTTTGAGCGCACGGGAGAGAGAGAGAGAGAGATGGAGAGCCATGCTCTCATCAAGTCACAAACAGATTTCAGGCCCACTGAAATTGCATTTTCAGCCCCGCTGGCATGGCCATAGTCATCGTAGTCATGGCCAGCGATACACATATTGCAATATTTCACAGCGAGACACACACACACACACACACACACACACACACACACACACACACACACACACACACGTGCGAATTATACTGGGGTGCACATTTATGCTCGGCAACATGCTGGAAGAAGAGCCCGGGGAAAGTGGCCACATCGACGTAGTCCTTGACAGGAGGCAATAAGCCATTAGCCGGTAAGGAGAAGGGTGCGCCCGTAGCCGGTAGCCATAGCTGCCATAGCCATCCTCCATGAGTGACCGCGAAGAGCTTCCAGACATCAGAGGACTTGTCACCACAAGGCTCATTGTGCGCATGGCAAGAAGAGGTTCCACACTAAGAGTGCACTTGTATTCTTGAGTGCCCTCCTTTTAACTGTACAATACACACTCGTGTGCCACAACATCTTGATAAGGATCTCAGCCACATTCTTCTGTATTCAAACAAAATCTGAACTTGAATTCTTCATCTGCTTATCATCAGCCACATGCGTGTACAAGCAGGGACTGAGGTCTGAGCTTGTATTCTTCATCTCTTATTCATGTCGTATCCAACAAGATCTGAACTTGTATTCTTCCATTCGGCCACAACAAGCAGGTACCGAGGTCTGATACTTTGATCATCAACCAGGACTCCAATCGTGACATACCTAGCGGTGATGTTTTAACGTACTGGGAAAGATGATCATGATCATAGCACAATGCATGGATCGTCGTCATCATCATCATCATCATCGGCATCACGAACATCTTGCTGATGGTGATCACCGTGAGAAAGACAATGCTGATCATGGTGTGTGGGAGATGATGATTATCATGATAATTACAATGATGATGGTGTTTAGGATGATGAGGAGGAGGAAAGGAGGAGGAGGAGGAAGAGGTGGTCCGTTCTTGGATGCATCAGCGGGGCGTTCCAAGTAAGTGAGACTGGTACAGGAAAATAAGAGGACTAAGCCCAAAGACGGGAAGAGGAGGGGGAGGAGGAGAGGGGCGAGAAGGGAAGGAGAGGAAGAGGGGGAGGAGGATGAGCGGGGTGAGAGGGTAAAGAGAAGGTAGAAGACGATGATTAGGACATTCCTGAGTACGATGGTATAGTCACAGACGTCTATATATGTAGTCAGTGAGAACTGCCCGGAGAACTGACCGGCAGAAAGGGAGAAAAGTACAAGAAACGTGGGGTTGTGACAGACTGATTCATCGAAGTTTCACCAACCCATCAGGCCGCTGAACCCTCTACGGTCTGCAGAGAGTTCCTTACATACATGACTCTGTAAGTGATAATCCACCTTAACCTCAAAGAATAGCAGCTGGGCACCAACCAAGGCCCCTCCACAACTGATACCCTCCTGCGAATTCCAGGTCGTTTTCAGCCCCTTTGTTCCAGTTCGTTTTCTTCAACACCACCGGCCGTCAGCGTGTGCGGCAACATGGTTGCATCATAACGAACCGGTGGCGAAGAAGGAAATGCTGCAACATGGACGACGATGATGAAGGTGGTGGCGATGATGATCATGCTCTCGTTCCCTCCTTCCTTTTCTCTTTCTCTCTGGCTTTCTTTTTCATATTTTCTTTTTTCCTGGTTTCTCCCTTCCTTCCCTACCAACAGACACATCCCCCCCCTTCAGTGAACAGATCTGGATAAGGTAGCGGATCGGGACGTGTACGACGTGGCGCTCAACACGTGATACGGGAAAGTGAACCCAGAGGAACGTCAATACCGACAAGGCATTCATCAGATTTGCCTGTAATGAATCCAAACCGACCGACTCGGGATTCATCTGATTTGCATGCCAGTCCTGTCTGCCTGTCTTTCTGTCCGCCTGTCTGCCTGCCTATGTGTGTGCCTGTCCCTGTCTGCCAGTCTGTCTGTCAATCTGTCTTCCTGTCTGCATGTCTGCCTGCCTATGTGTGTGAATGTCCCTGTCTGCTTGTCTGACAGTAGACATGTCTATCAGACTGTATCTCAGTCTGTCTGTCTTGCACTCTGTGTGTGTTGGTCTGTCGATCAGACAGTCAGTCCATCTGTCTGTCTGTCTGCATGTATCTCAACCAGCCCGTCTATCCGCCCGTGTGTTCATCTGCCGATCAGTCAGTATGTCTGCCAGTTTCCATTCCTCTCTGTGTTCGTCTGCCTGTCTGACTGTCACACTGCCTCTCACGCAGTGTGTCATTCTATGTCAGGCAGCCTGTCTCTCTTCCCGTCTGCCTGTCTCTCTGCCTCTGTCTGTCCGTTGGATATGGACATTAGCGAGCTGGATATGAAAAGTTTTACTAATTCATGGACCCCTTGATTCCATCGCTGCGGTGAAGTGCCACGTCATCGACAGACATCCTCTCTTGTCCCTTTCGTCACGTTTGATCTCCTCTTCCTCCTCCTCGTCCTTAACATCATCATCATCATCATCATCATCATCATCATCATGATGTTCTTCGTAATCGTCATTGTCGTCATCAACATCATCACCATCACCATCACCATCAGTATTACCATCATCGAGTCCATTCGCTCCTTGCCACGTCATCATCATCATCATCGTGTCGATTACATCCTTTCCACTGATGATTGCGTTATTTTATTTATTGCAAATAACAATGAAAAATGTCACCCTGGTCATCATTGGCCACAACTTGCTCTGGTCATCATGATGATTACCGTCCTCCCCTGCATTCCTTTGCAGCATTGCTATACCCGATCATATCCGTCAATACCGCTATATCTTCTTCCAGATCAGATAAGATAGCCAACGATGATCAGGATGACATTGTGTTCATCATTATTTGCAAAATCAGATCAGATCCATCAATATCGCTATATCTTCTATTAGATCAGATGACATCCATCCTTTTTCTTTCGCTATATCATTTGTTCCAGATAAGATCAGATCCATCAATACCGCTATATCTTCTTCCAGACAAGAACAGATCAGCCGTCTATCTCTATAGCTTCTTCCAGATCAGATCCGATTCGTCTACCTCTATATCTTCTTCCAGAGCAGATCCGATCCACCTATCGCTTACATAATCTAGTGAAAGACAAGTGTATATCTGCGGAGGGCAAGGCCAGAACGGCCCATTCTATGCTCAGTCGGTGGATTGACAGGTGGATGCGGAATGTGGCGCATTTCTGAGCTTTGTTATGTCCGAGCAGGTTGAACGAAGACATTATTGATTGCTTGGACCAGTAGCAATTGGCCTCGCTACTCCCTACTCTACTCTATTTTTCCAGATCACATCAGATCACGTCACATCACATCACATCAGATCGAATCAGATCCGATCCATCTAGGGCACAGCGTACCTCCTGTACAAGTATGCATGTACATTACACCACCACGACCACCACCAACGGTGCATGGACCTGGCAAAGCTCCCAGAACCAAAAATGGGGCACGGATTTGGACAGACAAAATGACAAGGAATTGTAAGGATGCTTTCGTATTCATTGGTTGGCTCTTTTGATTTTTAAGTCCAATTTACTGTATTAGACCGTCAACAGTGTCAAGAAACGTAATCATTGAAAGGGACAGCTTCCACTACAACAGGCATAATAAGGCATGATCGATTGGTACCACAAAGGTTCACTGGATTGACCATAGTGAATATCTTTTTCAAGATAAGATCAGATTTCCATCTACCGCTATACCTTCTTCGAGATAAGCTCAGATACATCCTTTCCTTTTTTTTTGGGGGGGGTTGGCTATATTTTTTTCTTCCAGATCACATCAGATCCATCAATATCGGTATATCTTCTCCCAGATCAGATCCTTCTATCGCGCTGTCTTCTTCCCCGCGTGCTTGATCACCATCGCCATGCTTTCTTTCCCTGTCCTGCACATTATGTTCAGCTTTTGGAAGCGGTAGCCAGGATCAATCCGCAACCAGAACGGAATCGAACCGGTGACCTCGGCCATAACAGCCGGATGCCTTTACCACTACAACTGTGGCCGCCGCAGCGATTCAGAGTGTGGGCCTCCCCACACCACTCATGAAAGGAAAACAATGGTCGTGCATCTTCCTGCCGAGGATAGCTCGATTCACCCGTTACCCCTCGTTGCAACGGATGATTTTGGCCAGCTTCTGTGGGAAGATGCAGTCGCGATTTTCTCGTTTCGTGGGTGGTGTGGCGAGGCCCTAC